GAGGGTCACTTCCAACTCAGGAGATTCTATGATCCTCGTGTCTTCCAAGTTATGTCACTCCTATATCCAGATCCTCCTATGTGGAAGCAGCAAACATCCCTGCCGTGATAAGTTGCTCATCTCTTACAGGTTTTCTGGTTAGTGTTACCGATAATGACAAATCTTGTAATCTGCACCCTGAAAACACCTCTTCTGAGCTATTATCCAAAGCCCCAACACTTTTTCAAGTGATAACTAACAGGTTCTGAGAGTTGCAGCACTTGACAAATGGACACATCCAGCAGTTAAAGCCCCATTCCACTGTGCTCATAAATATTTACTTTCTCTAATGTAGCCATTTAAATTTACATATCTCAGTGCTTAAGAGGCTGAAATATGACAGAACTGGGAAAACACAGGATTTTTAAAATATATTTTATGAGATCAGCAACAAGCTGGACTGGGACTAGGCTCAGCCAGAACTGAGCTGAGCCAAACCGCTGTAAAGGTGGTCCCTTGTATCAAATCTATCTTCATATGTAATCCCACTAGGAAAAAAACAGGCAGAAATAATTGTCGCAGAGGTACTATTTGGAAAGTCTGGTTCAGATCCCTGTCAGAAATAATTATTTCTCTCTGTCATGATCTATCTCTGCTGTCTACCATTCCAAAGAAAGGGTCAGCCCAACGCTACTGAGCCACCGAGCAGCACAAGGGGCTGTGTTTAAAGGTGTCTGCTTGAAGAGAGGGTTCAAATAGAAATTCAGTTGATCCAAAAAAACATTTGTAATTTGTAACTAGAGATAAACTAGCAACAAAGCACAGCATTGGTAGGGGAGAGTATAATCCAGTAGGACATCAGTGGGAGAAGAAGGGAAAATAAAGCTTTAAAATACTCTGAATGCACTAAAAGTAACAAGAGCTGAATTGTGCCCTTATTTCTATTTGACAATTGCTGTTTGGCCCAGATACATTCATATGCTGTGTCTGTGGGCCTTGAGAAAGATTCTTAAGAGTTTATCCCAGCCTAACCAATATAATCTGCTCTATTAAAGGGGTCCAGCCACCAGGCTGGGTAGGCAGAAGAGCTGCTGCTTCAGGCTTACTAGGCATTTACACAATGTAGCAATTTTCACTGCCATGTTCCCTTTGCTCTGTGGTGTTGATCTGTTCTTGTGTTAGTAGCAATTCTATACTCTTTTCATGAGACAATGTAGGAAATCTAGTTTCTGTGTGCGGGGTTAACGCTACTCTAACAGCTACTCTTCACTCTGCCAGCAGGCAGCAAGGAACAGTCAATGTCTTTTTTTTTTTTTTTTAATAAGATGCTCAGAGGGAATTTTGAGAAAGAAAAGCATTTAGGGTCTGATTCAGGGGCCTTAACATAGACATCTAGTACTTTTGAGCTGTTCTATGGTATCCAAAACTTCTGCAAAGGCATGACAGCTCTGACATGGACCTTCTTGAAATCTCCACCTTTCTGAAGCTACAGCTGGAAGCCTGAAGGGACACTTCAGGGCATCCTTAATGGCCCCAAATCTGTCTATAGGCACCTGAATCAAACATTAAAAATGCATTATTTGGTCTCTTGAATGCATCCAGGTAGAGAGCACTGCATTTATTTGTTGGAGCTTATGAGGGTTTTATCTACCCACTTGTCAAAAATCTCTTTCCCAGCCCTGCTATCTGCTTGTCACCTCCTCCCAGCTATGTGCTCACACCTTTTATATTTAACATTTCCCTACTGAGAACTGTGTATTATAAAATGCAGCTGCAGGAACTGACAGCTAGGTTATTTTTTATTGTATGTACATCCAGTATAGAAATGAAAAGTAGTCCATTTCTGAACTGAAGTACAGTCAGGACTCTGTCACAAATCAGATTCTCTTGTAAACTCCTGCACCACAAACTCCATTAACCTTCAGCTATCGATATTTGATGTGGAATACTGGTTTACAGGTTTTAGCTCAATCATTTGGCACATGGGAAAAGTACTGTTCATCATGTATGGCATTCGTCTTATCTCAACTTAGGAACCTAAGTTCAACATCTCTTCTGAAGTGCTCTTTTAGGTCTCCCCACAGCAAACAGCAGAGATAGACTCTTTAGAAGGTTGATGTTGCCACGTAAACTTATGAGTGGGATTCAATTCCAGTTTAAGGCATCTAAATCCAGATGTCAACTTATAAATATGCTCATGTGAGGCAGGCATATAAACATCAATTATAGTCAGTGGAATCTAATTATTATCATCAGTGAGGGCCAGAAGTCTTAACTGATCTGTAGGCTCCACTGATAGTACTGATTAAATTTCTGTCAGCTTTAATGGAAGCTCAGACATCTAGCACCTCTCCCAATGACTGCATGGGAACTCCTTAATTAGGTGTCATAATGAATCCTTCTTAGGTATTAGATTCCATAACTACAGGTGTCTAGTGCTATTTGAGATCTCTAAGTGATTTGACATTCACAAGGATTTGGCAGATACAATGCAGGACACTGCTAGAGGGATCATTCTGGAGTGGCAGTTGGAGGCCAAGCAGGATATCAGGAAGACATTTAAAATGGCACTAAACATTTATGATGAGGGTGGTAAAATACTGGCACAGGTTGCCCAGAGAGGTGGTAGATGCCCCATCCCTGTAAACATTCAAAATCAGGTTGGACAGGGCTCTGAGCAGCCTGATCTGGTGGGAGCTGTTTGTGGCCATGGCAAGGAGGTTGGACTAGATTACCTTTCAAAGGTCCCTTCCAATCTAAACCATTCTATGATTCTAGGATTTACAGTCAAGAAACTTTATCAAACCATTGCTTATGAACTACATCACTGGCTGCTCTCACACTAGAGAGAAACATGCGCTTTTATTAAAGAGGAGTTTTAGAACTTTTCAGTTCAATAGATATAATTAACACAATCTGACAAGTATCCTACCAAATAATGAGTGAGGTTATGATCATAGTTGTACTGTATGATATTTTTTTCTTTCCTAGGCAGCACTGAACATTACTTTTCACAGTGTTTGCTGGTTTAGAAAAAAGAGATGTGAAAACTGAACCAAGAATCTGTACTATGGTGGACTTTAAAAGATCTGGGACTTAATTATGCTGGGACAAATGCAGTGACTGTAATTGGAAAGTAGTGTGAGGAAGGATCACAAGATTTGGTCCAGAGGGAAAGGTAAAGAGACCACTACCTTTATTTTTTGCTGGGTTCAGAACCTGGTTTATTAAAATTAGAAGATATAAAATTACTTCTTTTCTCATTAATGGTACTATAGCTCCAATGGAGTCACCCAGGAAGCACACAATTCGTCCTTATACTTTTTATTGTTGGCAGATGATTATTTGTCACTAAAAGGAATACCCAGGACATGCTGAACTCTAAAATCCGGGGAACAACACTTCCAAGAAAGTAAAGCTTGAATGCTGGTACATCCAGATATCTCAACAGAGTAAGTGTTTTTAAGGAAAATCAATAATTTGGTTCTTTGGACTACTCGGTTTAAAACCCAACTTTCCATTTAGCAAAATACCTTAAAGCAGATTACTACACCACTTTATCTGACCTACACTTCCTTAAAAAGTAGGAAAATGGGGATGAGGTAATCCTTTTGCTTTGCTCATCTATTCCAAATATGATAAAGGGCAATAAAACTGAGGTGCTCTGCAGGCTGGCCCTTTGCCAACCATGTGCTGACTACGTCTCAGCAGCTTTGTAGAGTGAGGGGTATGACTTCCAACCATGAGAAAGTTCACTCCAACACTCCACTACTGAGGTCCACAGTGCCCTGTGGGTGGAATTTGCACCTGAACAGAAGAAAGGCAGTAGAGCAGGAGCAGTCCATCAGCCTGGCACCGGGCATATTGAATGCCAAAGGGCTGACCAAGGGCTTGTTGTGGGTTACACAAGGGTCCCAGCTCATGTGCTGTCAGCCACAAGTGCTTTGCTTTCATCTCTCAGGGATAAGGGAAAAGAAATCTTTTGGTGAAGTGAGTGCTTGGGAGCAAGTGCTACTGGCAAATGTCTGAAAAATGGTGTAACAGAGAATGCTTCTGTTTAGGAAAGCAGATGAATAGTTGCATTTGTGTTGCTCAAAGCTGCCAAAAGAAGCACAGAAAGGGGTGGTGAGGCACTGGCACAGGTTGCACAGAGAAGCTGTGGCTGCCCCATCCCTGGAAACGTTCTAGGCCGGGATGGATGGGGCTTGGATCAACCTAGTCTAGTGAAACGTGTTCCTGCCCATGGCAGGGAGGTTGGAAAGGGATCTTTAAGATCCCTTCCAACCCAAATCATTCTACGATTCTATAACTCTATGCTTTATTGTCTCCTTGGCTTATACAGTTCATACCTGGATTTCAGGAACAATAGGACCTTTCTCTGAGCAGGAAGTTGCAAAAGCTGTCAGCGGAGACGGAGAAACCACAGGGTTGGGCCGGGCAAAGTTACTGAGGTCACAGCTTGGGATCTCATTCTCTTCGTGCCTCATGACTATGGTTTCCATCACAAAGAAACGATCCCACGGCAGCCACAGCGTGTGTTCCTGGGTGATGAAGGGAGCCCGTTCAAAGTGCAGGATAATGGAGATTCCACCAATGGTAACAAGATCAAAGCTGTTTTTAAGAGATGGAATACAAAGTTAATGCAAGCACCACGCCCTCTGTTGGTAACAACTCCCTAGCAAGGACCCCCAGAAAAATAACTGCAAGAAATATCATCAGTCACATTTTATGAGCCTAAAACCTACAGCCCAAATAGGTGTTAGGTGAGTAACAACAAGTGGTAGGAGTACAATCTCAGCTTCTTTGCATTTTGTCCTCCTGTATATTAAAAACATACCCACACCTTTTTTGAAACAAATATTTATATTTTTTTGGTGCTTTTCTAGTACTATTTGACCATACATACTCTTTTTTTTTAAAAAAAAAAGTATTTATTATCCAAACAGAGTCAGATTGGATCAATTCACATCATGAAATATACTATTTGGAAAGCGGTTTCTCTGACATATCTGCATATAAACTGTCTTGGCATCACTGCTAACCTGACTAGTGCCTAATGCAACCCAGGAAACATGTAGAGCCCACACATGGACTGAGCCTGGTGTACTAGGAATGCATGCTGTGCAGGCTGTTTGTGTACCACAGGACTCAGCACATCATCTTTTTTGACTCTTAATCATTAAGATCAGAGCAGATGAATCACTGCCTGTGGTCTGTGACTTCACCCTAAGCCACCTCCAGCCAAGTGGCTTTTCTGCCTCTGTTAGTGTTGGATAACACTGTCAGGCTAACAGACAGCCCTCCAGAGCTGTGTGAAAAGATGTTACCTTGATAAGGAAAATATTCATCCTCTGGATGTAAAGATGTTGGGATAAGGTTCTGGGGTTTTTCTTAGTTTTGTATTTAAACTCCACATCTTGTCTGAAATGGAGATTTTATCAAGTACCACAGGGTGTATCTACTATGTATAGATGCAAAAAAAGAGGTGTTAAGTGAGAAAAGAAGGGATTTCAACACAAATTGAAGACCTCTTGGGTTTGCTTCTTTGTGTTTTTCTCAGTATCTCTTCAGTTGCAATGCCAAATGTGTGCTTCAGGCAAAGGAAGTTTTCTCATCCCTGCTTCTCACTTTCCACGCTTGGCGCTGCTGTATGACAGTCTCACTCAGAGTTTACACACGTGAACAAGCTCACTGGCTTCAGAAGAATTCCTCGTGTGCTTAAAGAGCTGTGAGCTCTGCACGAGAACTGGGATCTGATTGCCCAAAGGCAGACTTGATGCACCTTGTAAATACAGGGTAAGAAACAAGATGAAAAATGGTTTTGAAATTATTTTTTAAAATTAATTGTGAGGCTTTCGCATCAGCTGCAAAAATACCAGAGGAGCAACAATGGGTATGAACTACTTCTAAACACAAGTCTTTGGCAAGAAATGGCTTTGGAGAACCCTTTCTGGTTTATGACTAACGGAGTGAGGTCTCATTTAGCAAATATAACTATTGATAGAAGGTTTTTCATGGAAGAATGTCAAACTGAGTCCATGAGAGGAAGTGAAAAGCATTTTAAAAAGCTATAGCCATGTTTATTGTACCACTTGGGTTGGGGCATCAGCTTCTCAGACCTACAGAGCTTGGCTTGCAGCAGCCTGATGAGTAACTTGTTGGTCCCTGCCAGCAAAGCTGAGCAACACTTGTACTCTGATGTGAATGTTTTTAACAGTCAATTAGCATTTGGCAAGTCCTTCAGCTGGGAAGAAGACGCTTGCTCTGCATGGATCCGGGCACTGAACAGGGCAACAGGAGGGAAGAAATAAACATTACAAATGATGCTCAATAAGTTTTTAGGCAAGTTGGAAGAGGCTTTATTTGCAAACACCTCCATTTCACTTCTTTGGCTTCACTGAGTCTGGGACATGGATGGGAACTTGCTGCAGGGAAACATCCTGGCCTCTGCTGCATCCCCAAAACAGGATGCAGAAGGGAAAGTACCTCCTTGTCAGACTCCAGCAGCTGTGAAAACAGAGCCATGCAGTACTTTTTAGCAGTCAGTGTTGCTCATGACCTGGTTTTCCCAGAGTCTCAAGGTGCAGCTTTCAAGTTACCTTGATGAATTGAACAAAATGTAAACCCAAAACCAAATAGAAAAACCCAAACTGAAAACACCTTCTTTCCAGTTTCCCTTAGTGAAATTAAATTTAAAGAAGGGAGAAACCATCTTGGGATTGAAGAAAAGAGATACTTTTATTTCTGTTTCTGCTGCTGATCTCTGATGTATTCTTTATCACTCTGAAAAAATCATACTTGTTGTACAGTTGTATTGTTGTTTTTCTTTAAAAACTCTGGAGAGACAGGCTGAAGGATGAAATTATCTATTTATCCACAAAGCAGGCTCAAAAAATAAGAACTCCGCAGAAAAGTGTAACCCTTTCCCATCTCTTTGCTCTGAAAGTTCATGTATTTGGTATTTCTGAGAACAACAGGCCAAAGCTGCTGAATGTGAAAGAAAATGAATGTGAATGAAAATGAACTTGAAAGAAAAAGTCTGGAGACTTTCTTGTTGTTTTACTAACACTGTTCCTACAACTCAGGGACACTGAGGACTTGCAGCCTCTATAAACTACCAGTTTAATCAAATATAAAGCTTTATTTAAAAATGTGGTTTATAATCCAGTTCTGATACTTTGATTTGTCTATTAACTTTGCTTTACAGAGAAGTGCATACAACAGAGTAGTTTGAGACTTGTCATTTTTTATTTGTGCCTTGTTACATGAACAAAATCTCTGTCCCAACAATTAGGCTAAAAACAAACGCAAGCCTTGAAGTTATAAAAGTAATGTGACTTAAATAGGATGTGAGAGGAGAGCCCTGGAATACAGTGAACCCACTTACAGGGGTGAAAAATTCAGTTCACTGTACTTCTAAACCCAAAATTTTACTTACTCATTTTGAAACTTGGCCATGCCAAAAAAAAAACCCCAAAACCAAAAAACCAAACAAACCAAACCTGGAGCAACAAAATCAGCTTAGGAACCAATCTAGCTAAACTGATGCAATTGTATCTTTAAATTCCCTTACTTTAAAGCCCCAGTTATTACTCTGCTATCAGTAAACTGATTTACTAAATCAGTTTCAGGCAACTCAGTGCACATTTTCACGAATAGATATTCCTGTGGTGAATATGTCAAATAATAAAGCTATTGAGTTTTATGCAGTTATCTCATGACCCCTGGAACAAGGTAACTGCTTGCATGTGTGCTCCCATTTATTCTCCAAAACAGAATGACACAGAAGATGGTCCAGATGATCCTGTATGACTGTGCACTGCACTGGACCAGGAATACATGCAGCCTGCTACTGTAGGTCAGCAGAACCTATTTCTTGCCTAAGAGCATCAACTTCTTAAAACAAAGTGACTCAATCCCATGAAAACTGCACTGTGAAAAAGCCGAAGTCATGCTCTATTGAAAAGTTACTCAAAACATAAAAAAAGATAATAGAGACTGGAGTAGCAATAATTCTTTAGATGATTTTGAAAGTGCATTACAAATAGTATTTAATGAATACTGTAACAATCAGTAAGGAAGGTAAGTAAATGTTAACTCCCTTTCACAATCTGGGTTGCTGGCCTGGGAAGGTCAAGAGATGCATCTAATGCTACCCACCAAATCAGCAGTGAGGCTAGGATTAGAAATAAGGGATGTCTGAGAACATTTTCTGCCCTGATAAATTTTAGTCTGAATGGTCTTAAATAGTTCAAGGTAATTTACAGACTACTGAAGAATTCACTGGACTCAAGGACACATCTGATGGGGCTTTGAGCAACCTGGTCTAGTGGAAGGTGCTCATGGTAGGGGGGTTGGAACTAGATGACCTTTAAGGTCCCTTCCGACACAAACCATTCCATGAGTCTATGATTTTGGTGTTCTTTAACTCGTCTATTCATGGAAAAGTGACTTTCACTTGTCCATTTATTACCTCCGGAGTACACAGATGCAGTGCTGTGTACTGTTCACTTAAGAAAATACCTGCGTGTATCCCTCAGCCAAGTTGGAAGGTATTTTTATTATTCCAGACACTCAGTACTGCAACTGGGCAATTTGTTGGATGTTGGCTGTGCACCACATGTGCATGAAGTTTCTGTAGAAGCAGACTGATTTGAGAGGAAGGAGAAGAAAGTGAAATCAGAAGAGCTGACACCACACAGTCTGGGGTTACGCTGACCCCCACCAGCTGCTGACAGAAACCACAGCTTTGGGATGAATCCCCCTTGGTCACAGATTCCCTGCTCTGAGACACCTGATCTCTGTCACTTTTATCACTTGGAGCTGAGTATCTGTTGGGGGCTGAGTCAGCAAACTGCAGGCTGAGCTTCTTGAAACTAATTTAACTTCTGGAGGTTGGCAACCAGCCCCAAGGAACCAAGAGTTCACTGAAGCCTGGTGGAGCATACTCCAGCTGCATTGCTTTATGCCCTGGGTCCCCTGCTCAGCTAGACCTTGGGAAGAACATGGCATGTAAGGAGCATCCCTAGTTTGAAATGCCAGAAGAAGTAGGTATATAGCAGTATGTGTGGGGGGTGTTTGCCTTTCACCACCCAAGAACAAAATAGTTACTTGCCTGCAAGTTAAAAAGGCCTGCAGCCTGGATAGCAGCACTCACCTCCATGCTCTGTCCCTGTTTAGCTTACTGGTATGTTTGCTGACTAGAGGTGCAGTAGAGGTGCTAGGTACAGCCCAACTGCAAAGTAAAGAGATGGTCCCTTCCTCAAAGTACTTCTAAGCTAAATGTAAGATTACACACAGTAGCTGGATCTTGTATATGTACAAGGAAACAGACAGAAAAAAGGTTATGACAGGCATTGTTGTCCAGGAATTTTTCAGGCACATTTATCTGTTCTAATGGACGCAGATTTTGTGCCAGTCCGTACACAGCAAGCTGATCATGAAAACGTGGTTTGGATCCCACTTTCATGCAAAATAGGTTCAATAAGGATGATGGAGATACTCATAGCATAAATGTTCAACTTTTTTCTTTTTTGCAGTAATGCCTAAGCTATGGGGCAATAAAAAGACACCAGCTCCAGAGGCATCCTTTTCTAAGCAAGACCCCTAGTTTTTCTGGAATGCCTTTTTATTATCCAAATTTTATTGCCACGTCATCTAAGAGCTGGAGTATCACTCAATAAGCCTCCCAGTCACCATCAGTGTTACAATGGGTGCAAAGGCCCCTGAGTGTGAACGGGACAGCGTTAAGCACAAGTTGCTACCACATGTTCATTATAATTCTATCAGCTTCTCAGGCCAAGTCAAACCTTCAATGAAAGTTGTGGGTTGGAGATGTGCTAAAATTTATAAATCCTCTCCCAGGTGCTATTGGTTAGTGGTACATAAAGCATGTGCGGCTGAAACCCCTTATGTTACGTTTTTGTTCTTAAAAGAAAGGGAGCCAATTAGGATTGACAAACAAAAGATAAGATGAAAGACATTCCCAATTTACGATGCTTTTGTTTTGGTTGAGCATGATTGCTCAGATTTTGCCTCTAACACAACCGTAATCTTAATGACTTCTTCCTAATCATTTCAACATGAATTAGCATGAATAGAGCTCTTGGGAGCATGAGACGTCTTTTCTTTATATGCATGGGCACTCCATTGCCCAATTCTTGGCTAAGGATTCTAGGTGATATCACAAAGTTAATATTAACAAATAATAAACAATAATAATAGAATAGAATAGAATAGAATAGAATAGAATAGAATAGAATAGAATAGAATAGAATAGAATAGAATATTCAGTTGTTCAGGAACTACAAGGATCATCAAGTCCAACTGCCTGACCAATTCAGAGCTGATCAAATTAACCATATTATTAAGGGCATTGTCCAAATTACTCTTAAACACTGACAGGCTTGGGGAATCGATCACCCCTCTAGGAATTTTGAGGAGTACATTCAGTGCAGGTGGGTTGGGGTGCAGGTGCAGTTCGAGTTGCACATTGAACTCTGGGGAGTGGGAACCGAAACAAAGGGTCACGAACTGATGACCCTTTGCATAACAGATGGTATGAGGATTGTGGCCCAGTCAGGTGACAGGACACTCAGTGATGCAGCAGGAGCTGAGGACTCCAGACTTTCCTGTGCTTAGACTGTGAGGGGAAAAAAGCCCAGGGGTTCCTTTGTTTGGGGTCCCTCCTTGGAGGCACCAACCCAAGCTGTTATTTAGCTATTGCACCAAGATTAAATTCTTTCAAGGATTGAGATGTCTGAGACTCTGCTTTTTGAAGCCTGGGGTCGAGCCAGTAAGGAAACCTAGTCTGACTGTGTGAGTGTGGGGTGTGTAGCTGTGAAGGGGCTTTGGTCCCAGCTCAGGTGCTGTGAGAGTGACTGCCAGAGTGGCTCTGGGATGGTCAGACAGGGAAGTTTCTTGAACAGGACTCCTATTCTCCTGTTCCAGTCTTTGAGCACCCTCTCAGTAATGTTTCCTCATATTCAGTTTAAACTTCCCTTGGTGCAGTTTCGAACCATTCCCACACATCCTGTCACTGGATCACAGAGATGATCTCAGCACCTCCCTCTCCACATTCCCTCCTCGGGAAGCTGTAGGAAGCAATGAGGTCACCCCTCAACCTCCTTTTCTCCAACTAGACAAACCAAGAGTCCTCAGATGCTCCTCACACAGGACATTCCTTCCATCTCTACCATCAGCTTTCTTGCCCTCCTCTGGACACATTCAGGGACCTGAACATATTTCTTAAATTGTGGGGCCCACAACTGCACACCGTACCAACACCGAGTACAGTGGGACAATCACCTCTTTGACCAGCTGGTCACACTATGTTTGATGCACCACAGGATGGAGTTTGCCCTCTTGGCTGCTAGGACACACAGCTGGCTCCTATTCAGCTGCTGCTGGCCAGCATCCCCAGATCCCTATCTGCAAGGATGCTCTCCAGCCACTTCTCTTCCAATTTATACTTGTGTCTGGTGTTACTCTATTCTGGGGGCAGAAATTCCAGCATTTTTATTTTTTAAATTTTATCCCATTCATCATAGCCCAATGCTCCAATCTGGATCCTGCTGCAAGGTCTCCTGTCCCTCAAGAGAGTCAACAGCACCTCCCAGTTTGGCACCATCTGCAAACTTGCTAATGGTGCATTCAACTCCTGCCCATATTGTAGATAAATACATTGAACAGGACTGGCTCTGGAACTGAACCCTGAGGAACAGCACTGGTGACTGGCCCCCAACCCCATAACAACCAACGATAATGTATCAGCATCTTAAAAATGCATCAAAAATAAAGGTGCTCTTTAATGTTCATGGCAATAATGCTGTTACTACTGCTTGAATACTGTAAATTCTATACAGACATCCTACCTGCCATCTTGTCTGCTGATTGTGTACCCAAGGTGAGGATTGTTGACAAAGCTGATGTTCACTCCGACTAGAGGGGTTCCATCTGCCGTCATAACCTGGCCTCGAATCACACATGCATGTCTGCAAAAAGGAGAAAAATAACAAGAAATAGTAAGTATTTTTGACAAATGTAGGTTTTTCCTCTATTTCTGTGTCTGGGAATTCTAATGCATTAGAAAGTCCAGGCCTTTATATTCTGGATAGCTGGAAGCTATGCTGTGTGTTTTGATGGTGAGATGCTGCTCTTGAAGGCTTTCTCAGGAGTTATGTAAAAACATCAATACCTAAGGTAAGGTTTACAATTATCCTACTCTACAAAAGCAACTGCTGCAGCATATCCTTCATTAGTTATAAACTTTTGTAGGATTCACAATATCACACTGGAATTTCACAGAATCATAGAATATCCTGAGTTGAAAGGGACCAACAAAGGTCATCGAGCCCAATTCCTGGCCCTGCACAGGACAGCCCCAAAACCACACCATGTTCCTGAGAGTGTTATCCAAACACTTCTTGAACTCTGTCAGGCTTGATGCCATGACCAATTCCCATGGAAGCCTGCTCCAGTGCCCAACCACCCTCTGGGCGAAGAACCTTTTCCTAATATCCAATAGTGTCTTAACAATATTGCCCTAATGCAATGCGCATTTTAAAATCAAAGAGAACAGGCACCTACCAAGCGGTGCATGGACGTATTTAAGGCACAAGAGCCACCGAAGCCCTTGACCAAGGCTTGGCAGCTCATTTCTTCCCCATTTGGGAAAATCGCAACAGATAATTTGCCAGGTTCAGATACCTTCTTTACAAACTGCTTGAGGAGCTGAGCACTCTAACAGGATAGGTTTTTTCTTCTCCTCTTTTTCTTCCCCAGTTTGGCAGATTGCACTGTTTTATAGGATACATCTATTCTAATTACTCTGTGCTCTGTAATGTGCTCTTTTATCTAAGGACTTCAAGGATCCTTACAAACACTGATTAATATTGCAAGACTCATATTTTTACAGAGAGAGGGAAATAAAGCACAGAATGATTTTCAGTTGTCCAAGGTCAGTCAGAAAACATGCAGTAACGCCAAAGACAAATTTTCTAGGTTCTTATTCCAAAGCCTGTTTCCAGACCTCTTAAGTCATTACTATACTACTACTTTAGGAGCTTCCCATAAAGACAAAGCAGCACATGTCTGTGAGACTGTCTGAACCCAATTTTTGGCTGAAGGTAACTATTTTTCTGAGCAGCAACAGCAAATTGTGGTGTCAGTGTGCTAACGTGACCCAGTGAATGATTTTCCTAACTGCCATCCTGCTGGAGAGCAGAGATTGAAAGCCAGTGTTCCTCCAGGTGCAGGACCAGATCTCAGTTAGAGTAAATCATCCCAGCTGCACTTCAACAGAGCAATGGTGCTTTACTGGCTCACTGAGGCAAAGGATGATATCTGCAATGTTTTGTAAAGACGATTTCATAAACTTGGATCATTTAGGGATCATTTTCCTACAGGTCATCTAAAAATCTGAGATTGTATAATGCAAAGAGATAAAGTATAATTTCTATTCAATAAAGGCTGCACAATTTGTGCATTCCACAGTTCAGAAAGCAGATCATTTGCCAGGGAGTCCTAAATAAAATTCCCACTGATCTAAATGGAGAGCTCTGATATTAACGAAAATGACTGAAGGGTTACCAAAATGTGTCTGCAATCTAAAATGTGACCGGATTAACACATAATTTTGAAATAGGCTGCAGGAAAATGAGATATTGGAAATGATTTTTCTATCATTGAGTTTACTTTGATATATTATCACTGACTTGTTAGGAGTCATGTAGGCAAGGACTTGGACAAAGTTTGGAGCTAGTAATCATAGAGTCCTAGAATCTTTGAATGGTCTGGGTTGGAAGCGACCTTATACACCATCTAGTTCCAACCCCCCTGCCATGGGCAGGGACACCTTTCACTAGACTGAGTTGCTCAGAGCCCCATCCAGCCTGGCCTTGAACACTTCCAGGGATGGGGCTAATGGGGAGAATAATATCCTTAATACTGCTATTGCTTCTCCTATTGAAGAGCTCTAACTCAGCTTCCCATATACAACAAATGGAAAATAATATTCCAGTACAGTATTATGCACATCGCTATCTAACACACAGTTAGAGCATAACTCAAAGGATCACAATGCCATTGAATATGCTTGGAAAAATGTCAACACTTGGAATAACCCCAATGAAGTCAGCAGGTTACCAACCATAGTTCAATTTCAGCAAGAAGTGAATGTGGCTGAGCACACCTCTGACTCAAGAGCAGAAGCTAGGCCTTCTCTTCCCAGATTTTTCCATGATTGCCTCCACCCTGCTGTCTCCTTTTCCATCCTTTAGAGAGAGCAGAGGAAGGGTTTGAAACAGCCTTCTCTCATTTTCTCATGAAATGGCTGCATATTTTGTGAAAGACAAAGAATCACTGCAGATTTGAATGCAGTTTCTTGAATACTAAGACCTGAGCATGACCGACTCAGTATTCTGAAGTACATATTCAACACAGGGACCACAAATGTTTTAAAATAATTGAGAGACAATATCACACATTTCTATGAATGCGAGAACACTTCCATCTCTTGTTTTTGGTTCCAAGAGTTAAAAGGAAGAAAAGGAAAAAATACAGATTGCAGGTGTCTCTCCAGCTGCCCTACACAAAACACATCCAAGCAGTTGCAAACTTCTTCGTAATATTGCATGAACATTGGCCTAGACCCTTGGCTCAGTTAATGGGGGGATGGGCTTTATATCAGCAAGCATCTGGTCTGTTACATATCACTGACAACTATTTCTACAGCAAGTACCAGGAGAATGTGGACAAACAAGGAACTTCCTCTCTTCTTGGCAGCTCAGTTCTCATTGTAGCTCCAGCTCTGCCAGCACACTTTCGTGCTCACTAACTTGGACACTGTCTCTTCTCAGAGAAGCAGCTCGTCAGCAAGCCCAGCTGCATCCACCACCCTCCCGAGGACTATAAGAGTAGCTTTATTTCCATGCTATAAGAAAAGATGTTCCCACAAAGGGGACATCATTCTCAAACCACAGTGATAAAAAGAAGCTGGAGCAACATGCACAAATTTGAATTCATTTAAAAGCGAGAGGGATGGAAACTGGAGGAAAACTCAAGCTCAGACCATCCCTGATTAGTCTCAAATCTTTTCTTCCTGGGTGTCAAAATTTACCCCACTTGGATAAAACAGTTCATATAGACTACTGGAAGCAGCTGGCTTCTCTAGTGTCAACATGTCCTTTCTGGAGGCAAGATCGAGTATCCACAATGCCCAAGCCCCCCAGGAACCTGGTTAATGCTAATTTAGTCAGCTATTTCCTTCAGAAGACCTTGGTCTAAATGCAATTACCCTACAAAGAAGTTAAGTGGTACTGCTAAGATGCTCAGCTCTGCTAGAAGGTCTCTCAATACATTTACATAAAATTATCTCTCATGCTAATAGAAGAGATTTATTCCATCAGTCCAGGAATGCTAGCTCAGAGTGTTTTCCGCAGTTGAACAAAACTGGATTTCTTGTAGCCGGAGCTTCATCGTTCCATTAAATTATTAACAGATTTCATGTATTGCCTCTGGTTTTTTGTTTGTTTTTGGTTTTGTTTATTTCTTTGTTTTTGTTTTGTTTTGTTTCCTTCACTACTGTTACATGAGGCTGTATGGATTCATGTTTTACAAGGAAAATCAGTCTCAATTTTTTCTCTTCTTTAATGGCATTTTTCCTTTTTTTTTTTACTTTGTCCATAAAAGTTTGCCTGAAAGACCGAATCATTGTCAAAATGCTCTCTAGGATGCCAGATGGCATATCAGACAATTTTACACTGTTGCTTTGTGAAGTCATTCTTTATTCCCGAGAAAATTAAATTAAATCTTTCTGGTAAGATCTGGGCCACAGTGGCAAAACGGACAGGGGTGCACTGATGCCTTTACGTTCCCATTGCTCAGATACAAATAAAGTTTGACAAGCTGTCAAGAAAATTCAAGCAGACAAAACCAGCCTTAGAACAGAAGCCAGAAAAGTAAATTCCACAGAAGCCATCTCACATTGTGGCAGCACATTAAAGATTTGTCTTTAATACTAACTCTGATCCAGTATTTCACAACTTAGACATTGGTCTTTCCAATACTCCTTACTCAAAGATGTTTTCTGCTGACACTGTGCTTGGCATTAGGAAAAAAAAGAAAAATACTGCTTCTGCTAGGCATTTTTCACTGGGAAAATTCCATGCATCCTAACCCCCACTTTTTCTGCAAGAAATGTATATTCTTTCCTTGACTGAGGATAGGTGCCATGGGAAATCTCACACTGATGAATTTCTGCTGCTTCTCAAAATATTTCCAACATAACTCATTGTGCCTTCTCCTTTAAAGGTTTCAGATGTGTGGAAATGGTCTTCATGACTGCTTAGCCATTCTCAGCCAAGTTATTAATAATATGTATTTTAATTTGACACTATAAATCTCTTTGACCTTACCACTTCCATATTTTATTGGTATATATAAATACACACACACATATACAGGATTTATCTTTCTGCTCTGGATAAAACTTCAACAGAGCACCATAGAACAAAAATCTAGAAAGTTATAGTTCATTGGGAAGAATGTTATTAATGAAATTAGATGATCTCAGTTTCATGTCTTCCTCTGCTCCAGCCTTTCTGTGTGACACTGGTCATGTCATGTAGTCTGCATGTGTCTCTGTATTTCACCTGCAAAACAACAGTCCTCTGCTTATTGACGCCTTTGAGTTTTTAGGATTTTTAGCTTTTTGTAGCTTTTAATGTAGTTTTCCTTCACTTTAGACTGCTACTTTCTTACTGTTTGTGTGTCATATTCCTGAAGCTTTGGTTTAACTGTCTTTTAACGATCTTTTCAAGGCAATAGATATTCAGCAAGAACATTCTGTTGGATTCTGTTGGGATGTGCACCTGGACCGAAATAACAAGAGAGATGGTAGACAAAACAAGATAGAAGGCCCAAGACCATTGGAGGGACCCCAGTGGGGCAGGGTACCAGGGTAAAAGGGGTCTTAGGATTGGCTGTCCCTATT